GTTCTCATTAAGAGATCACATCTGCCCTGTGAGACTGTCATCCCTGATGTTGGCAAGAAATTCTACAACTGATTCAGAACACCTGCTCAATCGGAATCAATTAAACTAGGCAGGTAAATCTTTCAGGATAATAATCAAGGCGAGGAAGCAAAATTGTTGAAATTAACACGTATGCTCTGTTGCACTGTCACTGTGCCTCCCTTTTGTGTCAGATTTTACGTTTACTTATTACTGTGTCTCCCCATTAAGCTGAAACAAATACCCAGTGTTTCCGCTCTGTCTCCTGTTGCCTTTCATTGACGCTTTGCCTCAGACCTTTTCAAAGTCCTTGCACTGCAGGATTGCAGTAAAGCACTTCGAGGACAGTATGATAGGATGCTGCTGTACAATAGGCTGCTGCTGTGTTGCTTAGAGACGAGTAAGAGACTGTTCCTCTCTCTCATTCCTCCCAGGAAAAACGCAGCCCGTTGTGTACCCAAAGTCACCCAGCCACAGATCATACCTGAAGCCCAAACAGCAGAGGAAAAAATAAAAGTATCTCTATTTTTTCCATTTTTATTTTTCTGCCTCATTTGAATACGGCAGTTGCCTTTTACATCTTGTGTAAATTTGATGATGAATGGACCAATAGAAATTGATCAGAAGTGCTTGGAACAGAATCTCTGTACATTAATTGACTTTAAAAGTAAAGAACATTTTTCCCTGGTCCTGCAAACATGGCTGTAACTAGCTATGACGTCCTCAGTAGTTGAGAAGGGATTTTTCACCTTCCTTCATTCCTTCAAACAGCGCTATTATGATAATACTGTCTGCTCGGGGGCGTAGCCACAGTATCACAGGCCACCCAACCAAATGGGGCCAGAATATTTATTATGCCACATTTTTGGAATGATGGAATTTGATTTGTTTTCTGTGAACGCTGTAACTGTTTTCTGGCCAATCAAAATCTGACGTTATTTTCTAAACCCTCGAATTACTGTTTAACAACCATTGCTATCCGCAATTGCTTCAGTAAGTTTGCCAGAGTACCAGAGTAACTTTGGCTTCTTAAGATGGTAAAGTATGCAGCACATATGCTACAGGTTCACATATAACATTGCTATGGTAAGAGTAAGACTTTATGAGCTAATTTACATATTAATTCATCCATTTTGTTATTTGGAGCACTCACAACATTAATAGCTAGCTAAATCAGCATGCTTTAGTCTGGTTCCACTGGCTGCTCAATTTAGGCTACAGGTTCCATAGTCGGCTATATTAGTGATTAGATGAGGAATTAAAGCTGTATTTTGTTACCTGCATAAAACATACTACAACTTTGAAACTATCACTTGATTTCGTGTAGGTTTTAATATGTATTTTCAGCTGAAAATTAACTTATAATAAATAGATACATTATTCATTAAAAAAGTTTAAACAGGGTAGGAGTCAAATCAGTTTATGGAACAGAAATAGCAGTTCATGGAAGAATGGAGGGATGATGGAGGAACAAATGAAAGGAAAAGGTGCATAACAGTTATGGATGGGTAAAAAGGAGCAATGATTTTGTTAAAAAAGCTAAAGGAGAAACTCACAGTTGGTGTAATTCTAATATTTGACAGTTATTTTATTCACATTTTAGTGTAGGTCACATTTTTGCTAAATGGACCTCACTAAATTTCTGATCCTAGTTACTATTATAGAGATACTTGTTTTTCATGTATTCATGCTTTTATGTTTGGCGTCTGAAGTTTGCCTCTTTGGTTTTGCACTACTAAAAATGTAGCCAACAAATAATGAAAATCTGTCACCCAAATGTATTTCCTTCAAAATGCAGTGTAAAACTAATGGTTCTTTGAATGGATGTACAGTTCTAGGACAAACCTGTAATTGATATTAAATTTTTACATTATGTAGAAGTTCTTTGAACCTTAAAAAGATTCTTCACACTCATTTACAAACATGCTTCTTTAAAGAACCATCCATTCCAGGGTTTGTCAAAGAACTAAAGGCATATGGAACTCCACAGAATCCTTTCTGGCACCTTTATTTTAAGTTTGCGGACACCCTTTTGAAGCGAAGCCCATGTGTAACATACTCTTCACCTCTGACAGAAGAGATACATGCAGGAGATACGACTCCAGCATCATCACAGCCTCTTCACCCCCACTAACCCAGTGGAACATTAAAGACCGTTGGTGTCAAAAGACGGCAGGGGGCTTTTAGGAGAAGTGATAAGAGTAAACTGAGGTCGATAACAGCCCCTCTTTACTGCACTGGGCTCCTGCTCCAACGTCATGGAGCTAAGGCCTGATTAGATACAGGTTATGTTCATCTGTCCCTGTATTTTGGTCCTTGAGCTGCACCACCACAAGCTATACAACTAAAACTCCCTCACTCCTCACCATGATGCTGAGGAATTGAGAACGAAAGCATAACAGTTTGTACAACTGTGAGTCACATGGGCATTACAACAACTAACTACTTGGAATGTTAATGTTCGCTACTAAGATCTATTTTACTGGCTTTTAGGGTCAGCTAAATTTATTACATAATGAATATTATTCTTTACTGCATGGTGTTGCCATATGGCAACAAGTACTTTTACTGTTTACAGTATAAAAGTTATTTTTTTATTTTTCTTTTTGGCACTGGAGGCTTTTTGTGTAAAATGCTATAGATGAATTCTTATTGCAGCCTAATCCTCTTTCTTTCACACATACACACACACACACACACACACACACACACACACATCACAATGAGAGGCCTGGTTTCTAAAGCTTTTGTATAAATCAGTATTGTGTACCAGCTTGTGGATCAGTTTGATTATGAATGTTTATACACAACATCTTAAAGAAAAACAGTGAAGCATAACCTGTGTGAAGTTATAGTTTCTTCTGAAACTGTTCTAGATGTTATCGGTTTTCTATAAAATGCTAAAACATAATTGTTGCCTTATGGCAACAGTGTGTGCAAATGGAACTGCAATCTGCAATGTGTACAGTGGGAGTACATAAACTGCCATTAGACACTTCCATTTTCACAGACGGTTTTAAGTAAAGCCTTAACTTTTTTGGCCAGTGTTTTTACACTGTTAGTCCTAAGGCAGTGCATTGGTTTTCACATCGTGTGCACTGCAGATTTTAGTTCCATTGTCCACTGCATTATTTCCTTGTATGCTCTTGAAAGAACCCCTGTTTAAATATTTCTTTTAATTATGATTAATAAGATAAATCATCATAATTCATCCAGTATGTAGTTATATGAAAAAATAATTAATGCTTAACATTACTGCTACATGAAAACACATTCAAAATACAAGAGAAACTTTTGATATGATCGTAAAATTAGTGGAATGTAGGTATTCAAGTAGTTTTATTTACTTTGCTAAGTGCTAGCTAGTCTACTCTTTTTAACTGCAGGCAACAGTTTAACACAAGTTTATTCATATTCAGCTGTTTGCAAAATTTGGGCACCCCTGGTCAAATGATGTTGATTTTCTAAGTAAAAAAAAAAGAGAGCACATCCTCTACAGAGAACACAGTGCTGCTCATCTTAATGCACAATTACAGTATATTTGCTGATTTTAACATATTGGGGGAAAATTAAACAAAATGTGGCCCCTGCAGAGGTTGTGGCACATTTTATATGTTATGTTTTATTTTTTCCAATATGTCAAACGCAGCAAATACATTTAAATTATGCACTAAAATTAGCAGGAAAATGGGATATTTAAGTGTGTTCTCTGCAGAGGATGTATTAACTTTTTTTCACTCAGAAAAAAAGCAATAAAACACATCATTTGACCATATTCAAACTTTTGCATACAACTGTATTTGTGTACAAATGGTGTGTGGGGGTGCGGGGTCAGCTAGTCATACTACATGCTACAGTAAAAGTGGAGGAGACTGGTTGCAAAACTGTAAAAGCTGTAACTGACTGTAAAAGCTTATAATGCTCAACATGGTGCCTCCCACCCTTCAATCAAAAAATCAAATTGGCTTGTTGGTAAAGCCATCATTGTGGAGATATTTGCATAACCAGTAAAAGCTGAAAACGCAAGATTTTTTGCATGTTATTTGAGCCAAATGCTACAACGAATGGCTTTCAGTTTCAGGTTTATAGGTATCTCTCCATTCAAAGAGATAATAGCCTGGTAGCCTAGAAATAACCACATAAGGGTGTGGCCAAGATTGCCACTGAGTGGTCAGACTTTCCTATAAGGACTTTCCTACAGTACTACATCAGACTTGACTACATCACTAATTCTGACTTTCCAGGATCAGATTACACACTTTGGCTCTACAGTGACCAAAAGCTTGTTACTGTAAATACTTATGCACTTAACAGAAAGGTTACGACCAAGATACTAAATACTAGGGGGTCCTGGGGGATTCAGGACCTCTTAATTAACCTCTTGGACCCCCTGAATATCTCAAAATCAAAATTCCTGGTGGTCCCTGAAAATAAACATATTATGACATTGTGATGTCTGTTAGGTAAAAATAGACAAATACAAATTCAGGAAAAGGTCATTGTACAGCCTGTTTTAATCACAATGAGTCTTCTGTCTTTGTTATTCTTACTGGAGATACAGCACTGGTCTGCCTCAGGGTGGTGCTGTAGCAGACTGGTTCACCCAGTTGGTCCTTCATAGCTTAGCAACTGTACTATGCCCGGGATAACTCTAAAAAACCTCACAATGTGCCGTAGCATATTCGGAAATATAAAAACTTGCCCAATTAAACTAGATAAGAGAATTTCCAGAAGAAAAATTGTTGAACAAAACATTTTGTTGCCATTAAAGCAAGCATCAGTGCCGCTACAGTGAGCGTTAGCAGCCAAACAATGCTGGAGTAGCCAGCCAACATGGGACCCCCGGAATACCAGGGGGTATTTTGACTGGCTACGACCCCTAGTGTCAGCCACTGTGGTTAATGTCTAAGTTAATGGTTAACGGTTTGTAGCAGGTTAGTCCAGTTGCTGATTTTGAATCTGAAGGATGTTTCTCTCCACAGACACTCATACCAACCTCTCTCTGAACATCGCGTATCTGTCCCCTGATGTTTATACTGTCCCGTTCACCATCTCGGACAGCAGCTCTCCTCCCAGAAGCACCTTCATCAACCTGCCAGGTAACAGAGCTTTCAGTACACTCCACAGTGTAAGGAATGGTTTGGTGGGAGGAAAATAAAAGGGTTAACTTGATGTAACCTGTTTGTGCAGGCTTGCTCATCATGGGTGACGTAACTGTAGCAGTTTAATTGGAGGCTGTGACATTCACTGCACAGGATGAATCACACCTATTTAATATATGTGATGCTATTTTAAGCATTCTGCTTTTAAACATCCTTTGGGTTTATTATACATGCAATGCACCTGTTGCTAAACTGGCCTCCTTCCCATCAATAAAATGATATTCTGTTTAATGACAGATGTGCTGTTAATTATCAAAAATGAACAAGAGTTGAACATCGAATGAATATTAAACGTAGCAACAATCCACCATGAATCACCTGATCATTTACAGTTATAGTATGTTCTCATTTCTCAAAACAGATGTTCAGTTCCTGAAGATTTACTTGAAACTTTACTGCTTTTTTTTTCAATTACAACTAATCAGTAAAGCCCAGTCATGAGCTGAGTGAGTTGTTAGAACAGGAAAAAACAAAAAAGTGCATGAGGGCTGGTTTTGAGAACTGCTCTCTTAAAGAATTCATATTGCACTTTTCCCCTGGGGTCCATTTCTGACATCTGTGTCCAAAAAAGGTCACAATTGCTTTTAATAAGACAAGCTCCCAACCTGTGTTTAACGCTTAGTTTTAAACAGGCTGCTCTTGCTGCAGTTCACTGACGACAGCAAAGCACTCGACTGTAAAATTATGGAATGTCCTCAGGAAAATGGGTATACCAGAGCATCTCGACCTCTACGTAGACCAACAAGCCACAGCCATGACAGAAAATGGACAAACAGACAGATATCAGGCTGCCCACTATCACCTAACTCATTGAATCTGTTACATGCTGAACATTATAACCTTCAATATGAGGATTTCCTGACACTCACAGGGGATAATTAGGAAGACGCCATTATTAGGCCATATTAGTGAAAGCATGGGACTTCAGCTCAATATGACGACAACAATGTTATGACAACAACATGGGAAAAATGGGAACACAGGAAAAATGCTAACTTTACATACTGATGGTGAAGATATGGACATGGTGGACAGCTTTTAGCTACAGGGATTAACTATTAACAACAGAGGATCCAGCAGTTAAGAAGCACAGCACAGTTTGACACTCTACAGAACAAGGATGAAGGAGCTTAAAAAGCTCTTTAAATGTAATGATTTGTCTCTACAAACAAAGATTTGCTCAGGCTTTCATCTTTGCTGTGGTTCATTTTGGGTATGAGAACTGGACAATAAAAGAGCTGGACCAGTTTTAGCGTTTTGGTGTTGGTCAAGACTTTTGAGAGTACCTTGGATGGCAAGAAAACAAGCAAATAGCTCCTTGACCATATCGAGCCTCACCAATCACATAAAGCCCAGATAACCAAACTGAATCTTGATTTTGAATTAATTAATGGTAAAAAAAAACAATAACGCTTAGAACATTTGAGGATAAAAGAGGAAGAGGACGACCAGCAAAAAGAGGGAAGACGATCAGAGACATCATAAACAAGTGATTAGGAAGCCTGAAGACCCAAACAGAAGATAGGATATTCTGCAGAAACACTATCCACATGATCACCAGAAGTTGGACTGAAAATCGATTTAAAGGCACCTAATAATTATAATAAATCTTGTTACTTTGCCTTTTAGACTGATACATGTACATGAGCTCCGTTCCCATTGGCAAGGATTAGCAAGGATATTTTTTCCGTTACATGGAAAGGAAATTTAGAGTAATAGCTTTTTCAAACATCTTAATGAATACAAGCTAACAGCCATCATGGTGACAATGACCATTTCCACTATGCTAATTGGTGGCTATTTGCCTTATTGTTAGCAGTGTTAGCATTTTTAACTTAATTACTCCTTTGACATGAGGACTGCGAAGTACATGTGTAGTACATCAACAAAAATGAGCACATCTTGTCTGGATCAGTGCACCAGGTGTTTTCTTCTCACCTCATTCTCATTCATGTAGCCCACATTAGGCCCAGAGCTGGCTGTGCTTGGTCAGAGCACTGCCAGCTCTGTGTTTGTGCCATCCTGCATGTTAAAATTCATGCAATGCTAATATTTACTGGTTCAGTACCCAGTCCTCGGGGCCACTGGGGACAAAGACATTAGCAGAAATAATTGATGATAATCCCATTGCTTAATCATAATGCATGCAATTGCTTGCTCAATTAGTTAGAGATGGTGCAAGTGTGTGCGTGTGTGTCTATGCATACAAGTATGTGTTTGACTGTGTGTTTCTTTCTTTTTGGTACCTGAGGTTAAGGTATGTTTATATGGTTTATGTATATATATGATGCATTATTTTTGCATACAAAAAAGTCAGAGATCCTTAATATATTTCATTTCCAGTCAAAATGGCCATAAAGTCAAGCTATTTATTTCTCAGGAGATTTTTCAGATGAGATTAGATATAAGATAATCCGTTTGCATAAGGAAGAGGAAAGTTGAAGGAAAATAAGTGGGAATAAAACAAGAGGCAAAATGAAGTATATATATATATATATATATATATATATATATATCAGGCATAACATTAAGCCCACCTCCTTGTTTCTATGCTCATTGTCCATTTTATCAGCTCCACTTACTATATAGGTGCACTACTGTAGTCCATCTGTTTCTCTGCATACTTTGTTAGCCCCCTTTTACCCTGTTCTTCAGTGGTCAGGACCCCCATGGATCCTCACAGAGCAGGTACTATTTGGATGTTTTTTTGGGTGTTTTGTGTGTCCACTCACTGTCCACTCTATTAGACACTCCTACCTTGTCAGTCCACCTTGTAGATGTAAAGTCAGAGACGATAGCTCATCTGCTGCTGCACAGTTTGTGTTGGTCATCCTCTAGTCCTTCATCAGTGGTCACAGGACGCTGCCCACAGGACGTTGTTGACACTTAGGTGTTTAAAAACTCCAGCAGCACTGCTGTGTCTGATCCACTCGTACCAGCGCAACACACACTAACACACCACCACCACGTCAGTGTTACTGCAGTGCTGAGATCCACCACCCGAATAGTACCTGCTCTGTGAGGGTCCATGGAGGTCCTGACCACTGAAGAACAGGGTAAAAGGGGGCTAACAAAGTATGCAGAGAAACAGATGGACTACAGTCTGTAACTGTAGAACTACAAAGTGCACCTATATAGTAAGTGGAGCTGATAAAATGGACAATGAGTGTAGAAACAAAGAGGTGGTCATAATGTTATGACTGATCGGTGTATATATATATAATAATATATATATATATATATATATATATATATATATATATATATATATATAATACAGTATATAATACATTTGACACATATGTATGACTCCACATTCTGATATGCTGGAATGAAAACAAGCCTGAGTCTGGGTCAGTGTTTGTATATACATATATTGAACCTTTAATTTCAAAATGCTGTATATCCAATTGTAATACTTTTAAGTTTTTCAACAGCTGACATAATGGAAAACACTTTTTTATTTCTCTAATAAAGGGGGTATTAACCATAATGTAGCACTGATATTTCACTCCAAAAACATTTTAAAAAGTGCCTATAACACATTTTTGAACTAAAGCCTTCATGTATTACACAGTATGTAATACATTTGACACATTCGTATGACCCCACATTCTGATACTCTGGTATGCAAACAAGCCTGAGTCTGTGTCAGTGTGTTTGTGTATGTGCGTGTGCAGTACATACTTGCAGTGCTGAGAATTCTGTTCTCGCAACCACAGGTGCGTCAGTCTGAGTCTGACCATTGTTTTCCCTGTGGCTCTCTCCCAGCCTGAAGCCGTGGAAGCGTGCTGAGAACGGCCTGTCCCTGTTTACTCCTCCATTTACACCTCACTGCTGCTGTTCTCTGTGTAAGCATGGCTCAATACTCACTCTGTCTCTCTCCTCACAGTGACTGTGTGCACATGTAACGTGAGGGGGAACTGCCGGACTGCAGCCAAGCAGCTCGCAGGGATGCCCACAATCCAGTCCACTCTGGGTATCCTGCTGGGAACTCTGGGAGTTATAGGTGAGCACAATGCTGAGTGTGAAATAGCTCAGTGTTGTCCCAGACAGTGCTGTTACTACACTGAAATAAATGAATGGATTGAATTTACTGGATTTAAATGTGTATGTAGTGATTACAATACATGACAACACAGTTTTACCTTTCATTTGACATGCTATAGACAATAGTTGGGTTGATGCAGTATATTTAATTCACATGGAATGATGCATCCATGTCAATCAAATAAACCCAAGGCATTCATTTTTTCAGAGAAACTTCGGGGGGCTAGTCTTGTGGGGTCAGACATGATCTCATTCCAAACATCTTAGGACAACCATGAGAAAGTTTGGGCTAAATGTGGAAAGGAACATATGCCTACTAAAGTGGGAACAAACAGAGTATGAAATTTCCAAACCAATCCAACAACTCATGAAGGTGAAGCTGAAAGTTAGGTGCGTGTCAAATATCTGATGGACAAGCCTGTCAGTTAGCACGTGGATGTAACATAAGTTAGCATGGCTGAAAAGCTCCTCTAATAAACTCCAATTTAGCATCTTCAAACGAAGTGTATATTATACATTATATAAATATATTACACATTTGAACATATACATGGTCAGCGTATGTGTACAAATATTTTTCATCCATATGGGGAGACTAGAGGGGGCAAAGCTTAACTGACCCTACCTACCTGTTAATCTTCCAACATTCTATTAGTCTAACTAAAACATTTGGTATTTGCCAAGGATGTCAATGTGTATAAACAGTTCAAACCACCACCCTTTAGTATTTACAGGCTTTTACAATCTGTTGTATAATAAATAGAGAGCTGGTTTGGATTCTGACTTGTCAAACTGTTTTGGAGGTAACTTTCTTTGTATCTTCCTTCACAGGGATCATACTGATAGTCGTCTTTGTGAGACTGTCCTATCAGAACCCTCCACCGTCTGGAAAAGCCAACCAGGAGAGAGTGCCTCTCAAAATGTCACTGTAAATTATAGAGTCATTTAGCGCCTTTTTCTCATTCATTGTGCACAAATCACACAGAAAAATGAACCTGAATCCTAATTAACCTCTTTTTTTACCGTGCTAGTTCTTGTTCCTGTTCATATTAAGCATGATTCATCATATCATATCATTTAGAAGACAAAATTTGCAGTCTTTCTTTAAAATGGAATGATTTCTATTCTGGTTAGCGTTTGCCAACTGCCTTCTTTGCATCTGTAGTCGTCTCATCTTTTTCATCTTTTTTTCCTGGTTTATGTTCTAATTAATTTTGTACATATTTTCTGTTTTATCAGTTTGCGTTTTTGCAGAGAAACAAGTATGCAGGGAAGCTAACGTTCGTGCTACAACAGCGAAAAGGCTGTCAAAATGACTAAATACTATTTACACAATTCATACAAAAAAACCCTGAAAATAAAGAGAAATAGGTACAAAATGGATTTAAACATTACCAAGAAACGGTGGAACTTGGTGAGGAGATAACTACAGATGTGTTGTTCAGAAAAGGGATATGCATCACACTACCTTTTGCCTGTCATCCATAAGATGTTTCATCTCTCCCACCCAACATCCCACCTATCATCGAGAGGAAGTGCTCAGCTAGCTCAGAGACCCTCCTTGATTCCAGATTTTGTTCTGAAATATGTCACAGTATGGAAGAAAAAGAAGACTTCACATTCATGTTGACTTTAACTCCACAGTTTTTCTTTATTTAACACTGGGGATGGGATTAGGAAAGACTGCAATAGACTCTAGGACAAGTTTCTGACACAGTTTTATGATTTTTTGTAGTTTAAGCTACGCAGGTACTTAGAGAAATCATGTATATAGAAATTTCAGTGTTTAGTGAGCCAGTAACATCTAACCTATTTACCTGATCACGGTGTGTAGAGCAGTGGGTGTTAATGTAGTGTTACTGCATTCGGGATTAGCAGGGGGTCTGTTGTTTATTCCACTCAATCTGCATGATTACATCATCTTTCCTTGTTGCTTTTGTCTTTAATGTGTTTTATGTAGCTGTAAATGCTGTATTTGAATGGATAATTATATTTTGTTAGTTTCACCCCTCTTTGCACTGTCTGCCTTTTAGTGACTGAAATAAAATCAATGAGAAAAAGAGATATGGGCTGTTTTATTGTTCATTTGGGGACGGTTTGGAGAGCCACAGAGCAAGACGGAGAGAGAGAGAGAGAGAGAGAGAGATTAACCTCATTCAGGTTCATGTTTTTAAGCCATTCGTGTTCCTGTTTTAAAACCCGAATAAAGAGATTAATCATCCCTTTCTGGAGGACAAAAACCCGGCTAAAATGAAATAGTTCTGAAATAGTTCCACAATGAAGGAGGCTGGGGGGATTACCCACAATTCCTTTTAGCCACGCATTCCCCAGTTTTGGTGGGATGAAAGCAGACCGTGACCTAGATGACCTTACAAGCAGACTATATATAGACCCATGCTATAAATAGCCCTGCCGCTAAAGGGTCGGCTGGATAGTGGCTTTTAATTTCAAATAAAGCCGGTTCCACGTATACGGTTTGTATTATCATATCCAGTTCCCCTCAAGGGCTTTTGGTAGCTTTGGCAGCCCCTCTTTCACTCACATGTCATGCTTAGGCTTTATCAGCACTGCTTGACAGTAGTTTGAAAAGGCCGTTTCCCTTGTAGCATTCATGTGCCAGTTAGTAGGTCGGCCCTATAATCTCGGAGGATCTAATTCACGAGCACTGGGCTGTCAAAGCAGAAAAGAATCGGCCGTCCAAGCTCACCCAGCCGTTCAAATGTTCCATTGGCGCATAACGGAAAAACAGGAGTGCGGCGTCCAAAAATAACACGCTGATTATTTACGTTCATGCGCACTTCCCAATATAGAACTGCTCAAATATCTCACTAATATGATCTCGAAATACACATTTATGCATATCGCTTCTGGCACTGTCAACATGACTCAGCCTAAGGCCGCACCACAGAGGGCTGTGAAAGGTTGGATGTGTACGTGCAACTTCTAAAAGGCAAAAAGCCCATTAGAATATTCCAAAACGGCCCCAGTCACCCCGGGGTCAAGCCTTAGTGCCACTGAGACGGAGGCAGACGCTATATTTAGCCTCCCTGGCCTTGTTTTGTTTCTCTTAGGATCAAAATGGTTCAGCTGGCTAGCGGGCCAGCTATGAACAAGGCTAAGGTTTTTGACCGAACCTTTGGTCACCAGGGGCGGGGAGGCGATTTACGGCACACGGACACTTAGTGTCAGTGGACAGGCCATCTGACTTGCCATCTGATGAGTTCAAAATCAGTTTTGCCTTATTTTAACCACAATAAATGTCACTTAAACATGCTTTATTTACGTTATTGTCTAAATTTGCAATCTCATTTTCATTATTATTAAGTTTAGCATATTTGAGTGGTTTTCCTTTTAGTAAACAGCAGTAAGTAAGCTGTGTGTGACTTACAATACCATTTCAATGTTTTCAGTAATATAAATCCAGTCTGGCTGTACAAAATGCATCTAATATGCTACTTGTGTGCAACTGTGTAGGATCATAATTGGAAGTAAGCTGGAATAATAATAAGCATAACAAGAAGAAGTATAATTAAGACATTTTAGGTGTGTCCAGAATAATAAAGAGGTGTGTCCAGGGCTGTGGATGCTTCTAAAATATAATAAAATTAATATCCTAATAACATGACCATATTTTTGATACTGATGATTATAATATATTATGCATCATTAATAACACTTTAAATATTAAATAGAAACATCTAAAAGTACCTTTAAGTCTGTAGTTAATATAATGAAAACCTACTTTGTTGAACCCTTACATACTTTTCATGGTCTAGCTGTTTACAGTGAGGACAGGGACATTTCTGACCAGCTCCACATGCAAATTAGTTGTTTTAGTCAAAATTTAAATGTCATTTTTTTCAGGAACACTTGAACTAAAGACTTAGACTTAAAGACATTTTAGAGGTCAGAAACTCTGTTTTACATCACTTATTTGTCTTTATTTTCTTTTTTCCTCAAAATGTGACGTCTACATCATTTCGATGGATTTACATATTTCATAAATATCATTAAACCTGAAAATGTAAAGTACAGTAGTTGTATGCAGTGTTAACACTCCATCAACACTGCTGTGCCTGATACATTTGTAACAGCGCAACACCCACTACCATGTCAGTGTCACTGCTGTGCTGAAAATGGTCCACCACCCAAATGATATCTGGTTAGCGGTGGTCCTTTAGGGGGCCCTTCCTTTAATGAATGGGGTAAAGGGTGGCTGATAAATTGTACAGTCAAATGCAAAAGTTCTGGCCTATGTTTAAGAATGTTAATGAAATGTGTAAATTCATACACGCTTTGTGGCCAAAAGTATTCAGACACCTGACCATCATACCTATATGAACTTGGACACACTATTCCAAGACTATAGGCATTAATATAAAGTTTGCCTCTCCTTTGCGGCTAGAACTGCAAAGACTTTGGAGAGTGTCTGGGGCAATTTGTGGCCATTTAGTCAAAAGAGCATTTGTGAAGTCAGGTACTGATGTTAGAGGAGAAGGCTTCATCGTTACAGTTCTTTCCAAGGGTGTTCAGTGGGGTTGAGGTCAGGGCTCTGTGCAGGCCACTGGAGTTCCTCCTTACCAGGCTCATCAAACCATGTCTTTATAGAGGTCACTTTGCACACAGGGGCTCAGTCATGCTGGAACAGTAAGGGTCTGTCCCAAACTGCTGCCAGAAGTTGGAGGCATATAATTGTCTAAAATGTCTTTGTGTGCTGTAGCATTAGCATCACCCTTCACTGGAACTAAGGCTACATTCACAGCAGGTAAAAGTGGCCCAAATTTGATTTTCTCACCAAATCTGATTTTTTTTGTTTGGCTGTTCATATTATCCTTTAAATGTGATCTGTATGCAACATTAGTCTGAACAGATCAGCTCCTAAACTGACCCGCATGCGCAAAAGAACAGTGCTTCACATGGCTTCACGTGGCTCATCCAGAGGTAAACAATCATGACTTCCAACGAACGCCAGTCGCTCCCAGAGGGGTCAGTTTTACCTTTGCCAGCATCAGAGGAGCCATCATGAAGCTTCACTGACTGACAGCTGGGCTCATCACCCAGAATGTGTTCGAGCTCGCTGTTAAAAGTGCACGTTATTCGGACACGGTCACTTCTTTGGTTAACATCTTCAAATTCTTTAAACTTTGCTTTCAGACTTTAACTGTTCTTTCACGCTGCAGCCTCGATCTCCTACGGCCGCGTTCGGCCATTTCTTTCTAAATCTCTTCGAACATGGAGATGTTTTGGATTGGTCTCTTCTATTTTTTGGGTGTAGAAACATCAGCCTATATGTGTATGAGTCTCAGCAGCGCGAAATTATGACAAATGTCAAATTGGATTGACGTAAAAGCCGCATGAATTCCGATCTGGCCATTCAGTCGCATTGCTGCATTGCAGATACGTATCAGATTTCAGTACCGCATATGAAAGCGTCTCAAATCGGAATTGAAAATGTCAGAGTCAATGTGTTTTTTGCCATTCACACTGCAATACAGATAACACATCTGTGTCACCTGCTGTGTAAACGTAGGCTAAGGGGCCCAAACTCTGAAAAACAGCCCATTATCCCTCCTCCACCAAACTTTACTGTAGGCTCTACGCAATCTGAACTCTGTAGTGACTGATGCAACAGAGGACAGGCGATTTTTCCAGTTACATGCTTTAGCACTCAGTGTGCTTCAGGGTGACCCGAACAGTACGTAAGCATTAAGTTATTGTTGTATAAATAATAATACAAATCTTAATATCATAAGTGATTCCAAGCTTTGGGATGGTAGTGTGTATCTTAGCAGATTGTTTCTATGTCCCAGGGGACACAGTTATGGACAATGTTAACTCGGCTGTCTCTGAGCTGCTGTGATTTTGGAAGGTTTCCCTCAGCTGGATGTGCCACTGCTATTCCGGGCGAAGAGGAGAGCAGCTGTGGACACTTCTTCAGCCTGTAAACATTCTTCAGGCTGATGGAACGCCCCATGACGCAGCCGGAGTGCGTTTTGGAACTTTGTGGAAAATATGTGTCACTTCCTTCCGTTCAGATTCTCGGCCATTAAGCGTCTTGTGTTTGGAGAGTTTCTTTTTGCATCAACTGCAGCGTTATGTAATGACATCTAGGTCCAGTGCAGTTTTCCTTTTAAACAGAATGGAAACTTTTTTGACTGCAGTAAACTGAAGACAAAGGTCAGGAGTCACTACAAGTCAGTCTAGAATATGCACATATTTCCTTATATCCAATAGATACGTACAAAATGTGTATGCGTTTGCAATGAAATTCCAGATGAAGAAAATATATGTATATTTCCTTATATACAAAGTATATGTCAATAAAGGTGATGTCTTGGTACTGAAATTCTGAACAATGATTAAGATATGTACATACATTTCCTCATACCCGAAATACATCTCAATATATGTAATGTCTTGGTACCAAAGACATTGGCACCAAGAAAAAGACAAAATATTTCCTGGTGTATTATAATGTATTATATCTTAATATGTCCTTCCACAATGTATGCCAATACATGTAGTCCTTGTACTAAAAGCCCTCATGATGAAAAACAATATGTGCATATACACTGATCAGGCATAACATTATGACCACCTCCTTATTTATATGCTCATTGTCCGTTTTATCAGCTCCACTTACTATATAGGAGCACTTTGTAGTTCTACAGTTACAGACTGTAGTCCATCTGTTTCTCTGCATACTTTGTTAGCTCACTTTTACCCTGTTCTTCAGTGGTCAGGACCCCCATGGACCCTCACAGAGCAGGTACTATTTGGGTGGTGGATCATTCTCAGCACTGCAGTTACACTGACGCGTGGTGGTGGTGTGTTAGTGTGTGTTGTGCTGGTACGAGTGGATCAGACACAGCAGTGCTGCTGGAGTTTTTAAACAACTCAGTGTCACTCCTGGACTGATATCCAGCCAACAGCATCCTGTGACCACTGATGAAGGACTTGAGAATGACCAACACAAACTGTGCAGCAGCAGATGAGCTATCGTCTCTGACTTTACATCTACAAGGTGGACTGACAAGGTAGGA